TTTTTACGTTTTTGCTGTTTTTACAAAAATGGCTGGCCACGCACAAACAGAAACCTAAAAACTTTTACTTTCATAAATATTTGTTGTATTTACTGAAAAATTAAAAGCAAGCAAAGTCTCCAGGAAACAGATATTCAATAATTAAATTAGAGAAAATAAAACAAACGACATTTCCTTATATTCAAGTTAAAATTAACAGTAATAGATACTCAAAACAATTAAAAACTGACTCCATCGCCAAATCAGGAAACTGCAATCATACCTTAACTTAAAAGTTTACCAAAAGTAGATTGCAAATATTTTCCAATAGATATTTTACACAGAAAGTCTTATACCGTCAAAAAATATTACCCTTACTATGGCTTCTCCGGAAGCTTCAGAGCTAAGTACTGTTTGTGCAGCCGTTGTTTGCAGAATTCGTAAAATTCGATCTCTTTCGAGAAGTTCCTTCTCACTATTTCTTTTACATCTTCGCTAACAGGCGGCTTGAACGAGTTTTTGTTGATCGGGTTATATCGGCTTATTTCATCTGAAAAGGAAAATAGGCATAATTTGAAAAATTAAACAAGGTAAGCCTTGAATAATACAGGTTTTTCATTGTTTTCTGCTCAGAACAAGATAGTGTTCCCACTAGTGTCAATTGTAACAAAAACAACTGATCGTCTTTTGTTGTAAGTTTTATCAGAAAAATAAAAATAAGTCTCCAAAAAAATAAATTTAACTAATCTCATTATTTGTTACAATCTATGCCGACTTAGTGTTGATTGTAACACATTAATTGAAGGTCGTGTGAAACCTGTCTCCAAATCTAAATTTGGTCTCAACTAATAAAAAAATTAAAAAAAAATTATCGAACTAGTGTGTTGGTTACTATTGACTTGACAGTGTTGACTGTAATATATCAATTGTATCTTACATGTGTACATGCTTATTAAATCTAAATTTGACGTAGATTATGAAAAAGGAAAAGTTAATAAAAAAATAAACACTACCAGTATTCTTACTTGTTACAATCTACACAAGACAATGTTATTGTAACACAACAATTGTAAATCTTATGAGACTTATAGACCTGCTTGCCATGTGTAAGTTTGATCTTAAATCAACTAATTTTGTTATTTGTTATAATCTCCACATGGATAATGTTGATTGTAACACATCAAGGCGTAATTGTAACAAATTTTCAAAGGTATCTAATAATGTCTTATTTGAAATATTCTTAATGACGAGATAGCATTAATTCTAAAGAAGTAATAAGTAGGAGTAAATAAACAACAGTTACAACAAAACGTTAGGTATCACATAATTTAAAAAGTTCAAGACCTGAGTAAAATTTAATATTTAACTGCAACTATGTTTTAGGAACTCGTTATTGTTTGTTATTAAGAATGGTATCTGGAAATAAGCATTACTAGATAATTTTTATGACCTGTTACAATCACTTGTCGATGTGTTATAATCAACACTATCTTGGTGTAGATTGTAACAAATAATAGCATTAGACAATTTAGTAGTAGGCGATTGTTCTTTGTGATGATGGGAAGTGGCCATTTACTGTGTGTATTACTTTTTTTCTCAAAAACTATTACATTTACGATAAAAACAGAAGAGATTAAATTTGTTCGGAATAAATCAGACTATCTAAAACAATGACCTTATAGCACTTACTCCAATAAATATCCGAGGCGCCTTCGAAGAACCGAGGAACGTAGTTCTCTAAAACCTTCAGCGTCGTGTTCATTTCTTCCAGCACCCCGACGACGGCGTAGTGTTCTTCAACAGCCCTCTTCGCCCTCTCGAGGGCCCCGTCTGTGTTGAAGGGCAAGCAGTCAGCGTGGTGGCCGCAGAAGAACATGGACTGGCGCCTGTGGTCACCGATTCCTTCCCTGATCTCCCCTGTCAGATATTTGCATTCTCTGTCACCTGATAGCACGCAGTGCTCGAAATCCTAAAAGGACAAATTGCCACGATGAAACACGACGAAAAAGAATTATTGCTTTTAGTAAACTATTAAATAGTAACGTGCTGGGGGTATGATGTGTCTACTCGTAAGTGACGTCACCAACGAGACTCTAATCAAGGCATAGACATATAGGCAGGGAAATGCGTTTTAATTTAATTTTTTTAAACAAACAAAGCGTTTTTTACATGTCTATTTTTCTCACTTTAAACACATATGGGGGCTCTATATTACCGCATAAATTACATTTTAATACGGAAAGCTGTTTTTAAGTGCTGTAGTTACTTTAATAAACAAAATAACTACGTAATAAATAATTAACTTAATTTATATGGTAATTTGGCGTCGAGTTTAAAGGAACACCGATTTCGCGCCTACTTTTACATAACTAAGTAAACAATTATGCTGCTAACGATGTGTTACTTACATAAACGAATTGGTAGTAACTTTAAAATAATTTAGGTTTGAAGTCCATAAAATACTCGAAGTATGGATCATTTTTACCGGTTATACATATACAGAGTGTACCAAAAAATGACAAATATCGAGAAATAAAATTTTGATGAATAAATCGACCAAGAGAAATCGCTGGAAATAGTTTTTATGTTCGTAGCTCGGCTGCTAGGGTGCGCAATCTACATACTAAAACATAGAGTTGAATTTTTATCAGAAATGTTTCCTATTCATGTATATTAAATAGTACAAATATCGATAGCCAGATTCATTGCCCATAACTTTTATTATTGACATTTTGTACTATCGACAGAAAGGGTGGGGGAAGCCCCTAATGTCTGATCAGAGAAATGCATTTTTTTAAAGCATTGGCTCATCAAAAGCCCATGGTGTTATACCTCGTTGGAAAGGTCTTTTCATGCTTTATCTCGTGGTGAATCGTAAGGTCACTTATCTCACATGGAAACCTAGAGATGGCGTTATTTCAAATGAATGCCGTTTTATGGATTTTTCTCAAAAATTTTAAATGCAATGCTTTATTTTTCTTTACACAATTGAATTCAGCACAAAAAAATAATGAATATAGTATAAGTTTGAAAGTTTTAAGAAAATTGTGTATTTATTGGCGCTATTTATCCATTTTTAGGTTGTTTCACGTGTTTTTGAAAAAATAAATAATAATAATGAATTGAAGAACACGACGCTAACGAAAAGACATTTAATTACCGAAACAAAATGCGTTTCCTAATATCGTGCCTCGACGAACTTAATGCGACACCCTGTATATAGTATATATTATCAACATTTAAATATTCGAATTCTGCCTATTGACATTTTGTAGATAAAAATACACTGATTCATGTAAATATTAATATTGGAAATTTCTGACCTAAAAGTTCTTTGCCTAGAAATATAACCAGTATAAGAACTTTTCTCTTTATCTCCGTATTGATGTTATTCATATCGATTTAATTAATAATATCGGCTGCTAACAGCATATGAAAATTAACATAATAAATAGTTCATGTATTGAGAAAAATATGTTTTTGGTAAACAATAATTAACATCAACAACAACATTAATTAATCATGAACTATTAAAATCGGTAATTTAAATATATTTTGAACTAATTTAAGAAAAAATGTGTTTCTGGCACAATATTTCTGGCGCTATATTTCATAAACGCCCTGTATAATACATTATTTTCTTGTGCATTTAGGAATAGCAATGTAATTTTTTCCTTTGCTGCATCTACAAGGAAGGAAAATAGTACTCACCTTCTTCAACCATTTGGGATCCGGCAGAGGTATGTCCGGGAATGCCATCTTCCTCTCCACATAGTACCATGGGGCTCGAACGTAATAGTACCAAGATATGACACGCTCTATGGGGTCCCTAACCAGGTTAATGTATATAGGTTCCGGCAGTCCGAATCTGAAATGTAGACAAACTTTATGCTTTTTTATAAGAGAGTATATAAAAAAAGAATCTGAAGCCAGCTCCAGATAATGTCGTCATTAGCTAATGTCTTTAATCCCGCAGAAAATCCTTCTAAAAATCGCTTGCCAAACGCCTAAGCTGGTTGAACATATTGAGGGAACAATATGCGAAATGAAGGACACATTACACAAAATTTCCACCTACACGATGCGACATTTGTTTACGTTTGGCGAATATTTGGCATGTGAGTGCTTCATCTGAACCCGGCTTAATTCAGGTGTGTGGTTTAACTTTAAAAACGACGAAGAAAGTTTTATGTAACCACCCACATTGGAAAACAGGTTGATATGTAATTGACGCTATTCAGAATTCAGGAAATGGTAGAAAACGTTTATCAATAATAAATTCCAGGATAATATAGTTATGCAATTATGTAATCATATGCGTGGCAGAGCTACATTTGTAGCAACTTTTACTCGTGGTACATGGGCGTTTAAGGTGTATTTCTGTGCCCATTTTTGCACTTCAGTGATAAAATTTTATCCGTAGGTGAGGTGAGTCTTATTGTACCACTTAAATGCGGTATTATGAAATAAATATCTTCCACATGAAGTAGAATTCTTGCAATAAACTGCTTATGAAATTCTCAACTATACAGTATACACAAAATAACACTTACTGAGACACATTTGTGAAGCAGACGTGCTTGATGTAGACCCCTGGGGGCTCGTAGCTGGAAACCAAGGCCGACAGAGCCGCCTGGTCCTCCGGTGCCAGCCTGATGGTTTCCACCCTCTGTACGCGGTCCTGATGGAAACCGTACTGGTTCCTGATGCTCAGCCTCCGCAGCAACTCCATCAACGTTTGGGACCCAACTTTGGGGACCCGATTGAAGAACACGATCTCCTGCTTAGCTTTCCTCGTGTTGTTTAACTGGTAGGGTTCCAGAGTCGTCATCTGTAACACACGCAATTCAGTTCGGGACCGGTATATGTCTGGAGGCTTCCGCGACGAAATATCCAGATATTGTGGGTGTAGTTCTATGCTGATCGGGGCATTAGCCCGTAGAGAAGTTGTTTCCCGTGAAATCAATCGTCGATCAGCTCAATCAAAGCGACAATAACTTTATTTTTAACGTTCCCTAGCCGTTATTTGTTGAAATCATATTAAAAAAATTTTAACTCGTCTTTCTGATCCGTGAAATTTAAATAATTTCCACCGTCGTTGTCCGGATGATGATTTAATGCTGAAGATAATGAACTGGAGCATAACGTTTAACGATGTGTTTATTTTACACGCAAATTGTGACAAAATGTTTACATTGCATTTATAAATATAGCGCGACAAGAAAAACTGGACTTTGGCTTACATTATTATCCACGCCTAAAATTTTCTATGCAATACCTCGCCCGTACTTAAACGATGTCGATAGATAAATAACAAAATTACTGGATCAATCATCCTATTGATGAAAGTAATAATAATAATAAGGTCGTGATCGCTATGTGTCTGGTGGTTCTATTGACGAGCGATCTGGATATTGCGGCTGTAATTTATTGCCCCTAGTTCCGCGGAATAGTCGTTCCCCACAGATTCATCAGTTAAACATTTTATTTGGTCGGTAAAATCATCTATGATGAACAAAAAGAGTGGGGTCACTTACAAGAAAACGTTGTGTAATAAAAAATATAAACTATCTTGAGATAGCACTGTAGAAGGAGAAAATAAGTTTTAATTAACAAAATTATTACCTGCCCCGTGCTTTGCAACAACTTCATCATGGCTCTGACTCCAGAAGGTCCTCCTACCCCTGAGTCACCTGGAAATACATTCAATTTACTGAATAGTGTATGAAATAATATAATTATTGTTTCAAACTTTATCTAATGATAATTGTGTTATTTTAAAAGCCGATAAAATGTTTTTTGTTTGTTTTAACATATTTTTGTTCATAACACTCCTTGTGTAAGTGCCATCTTGTGAGTTTATTTTCCTTGATACTTCGGCTTCTGCGAAATTAGAGGTTCATGAGTTCTTTGACCGCATTGATTTTTTTATGGCATCTTTTACAACTCAGTGGATTTTATTACAGAAAAGAAACAGCGCTTGCCATTTTTTGTTGTCGCTTTTTATTGATTTACCTTTGATGTTTGAAGTTACTATAGGAAAAGGGTGTGTGTTCCTATCATCCCGGAGCATTGCAACTACCAAATTGTGCTTAAAACATTTTTTAATAAGTTATATAAACTGCATATGTAATACAGTTAGTTGCTCTTTTAAAATGCAATAAAAAATTGTAAGTCCCTGTTAAATTGGAGGTGGATTGAGGATAAGTTATAAGTTGATTCAATATTATTATTAATATTTATATTTATGTACGTTTAACTGTCTTTTGAAACCGGTATTCTTAGTCCATGACGAAGACAAATTTTCCATATTCTGATTTTTGCAAACCCCAACAGAAGGAAAACCAGTTAACAGAGATTTAATGATAAATAAAGTAGACATTTACTGCTACAGCTATATTGGCCAGACAGCAATAATGACCCTTTTTATTAACTGGATCAGTAGGTTACAATAGAAATTGCAGAATCTCTTGCGACAGATGCACATGGAAGACAGATGGACGCATCAAAGTCATCTGAACATTAAATTATACCTAAAAGTATAAAAATATGGAATTGTTACAAAAACTGTAAATTTTTTGTGCCCAGCATCTTTAAAACTTTCTTATATTTTTCTTGCGGTTATAACTTTTTAACATCTGCCATTAATGCAAGCTATTATTACATTAAAATGAAATAGTTAACAGTTACAGAAAAAGCGGTATTAGTTTTTTCACTATACCTTAAACTTCCAATATTCATAAATACTTTTTAGGTTTATTTTTAAATGTATGTGGTAGTATTAAATAGTTATTTACACCATAAAGGAAGTAAATATTATTTACCAGTCGAGGAAGATTTTGCGCCCGAGCGGAGCGAGCGAGGGCTGGCAATAGAGTCTTAGACTGGAAATTATACTTAACTGTTGCGTGGTGTATAACAGTTCTTTACAACCAACCAGTCGGCAATAATACCCTTTCTATGATTCCTAATAAGATTGCACAGTTTTTGAAACTAGAACATCCTGAAACATATACAGGCCATTCATTCCGAAGAACATCGACAACGTTACTGGCTAATGCAGGAGTTGATGTATTAACAATCATGAGACATGGTGGGTGGAAATCAGCCACAATTGCAGAAAGTTATGGCTGACAGTTTAAGTAACAAACATGAAATAGCCAACAGGATTCTTTACAATAATACTACAACTCCATAATATTGAGCTTCCGGTGACTGAAATGGAGTGGTCAAATCATTTTGAGAAAAATGTGACAATTAGTAAACGCGAGGGGAATAATTATCCAGATTTTATAAATGTTACTAAATGTAATAACTGTACATTTACCTCCTTAAAAACAATGTATTAACAGTCTATTTAGTATAGTGGGAGCAGATGAAATTAATTTGTCAGTTTTTGTTACGTAGATAGCTTGGTAAAGGTCATGCTAAAACTGTATATTTTTGGAGGTTTTGATCAATCAAGATTTTCTGATGTGTTTTGTTCGTGTGATATTTTATGTTGGCTTATATTACGCTTATATATTAGGGTAGATGAGGTTAGGTTGGGAACGTATTTTTAACAGAAATTCTTGATTAAATTTTATATTGGTACCTCTATGACATGTTACTTTATATTTTTTTGACAATCATTCTCACTTTTTTGTTTTTATACAACTTTAATAAGATACTATTAGCTTTCATTTATAAGGTTTGTTAATTTTGGTAGGAGGTAAACTCGTTTTAATAATTTTAAACCACTTTGAGATATTATGCAATTCTAATAAAGTAAGAGGCTCATTATTTTAGAAGATTTATAACTTTGTTATTGGTAGAAAGGCACCGAATCTTTGTTTTCCAAGACATTCCTTGCCTTTTTTTAAATCCTATAGATGTGGTAAGATGATTTTCTATTAATTGGAAAGTTAGACAATCTTAGACAGACGTCACATTGAAATAAAAATTAATGCGTAGCAAAGCTACTTGCGTTTGTTCGGCTTCAGCAAATATTCGGGATATTGTAAATTTAATTTCATGTTTTAATCCACTGAGGACGTTTATTATTTAACTCAAGGCCGCCTAAGGTTAATCAACTCAGTAACAGTTTATTTTCGCCGCTAACCAACACTCGCACAAATTTAAATTAATATTTTATTCGCGATTTGAGACGTAAACAAGTTGAACATATTTTCAGCAGGGAAATATTTCAGGAACTCGTCTAACTATCAACAACGCTTCCTACCTGAAACCAGTTGATTTGCCGACACCATGTCGTCTGGTTGTAGCTTCACCTCCATCTCCTTCAGCTTCGTATTCAAGTCTCTGGTGTGGATGAACAAGAATAACGTGGCCGAGAGCGCCATGAGGGCTATCAGCTCGCTCGTCCTGAAAACGGAAAATACGGAGGTATTATCTCAGAGAATCGATGAATATTCAATGAAACAATAACATGATCAAAAATTGTATTACATACATATTTATTACAATATTAGAAACATTTTACTTGTAATTGCGGCGTACATACGGTTCTTAGACCAGCACCAGTACTATTTTTTTCAAATTTTCCTACAAATATGAAGAAAGTCAATATATAGTACCTTATTAACTGGAATCGCCCACCATTCTCTCTTAGACGTTGGTCAACTCGTTGAAATTTCTGGTTTGACATGTTCTGCACAATTTGTTAGGATATCAATTCTTTTCCAAAGGAAAATAAATGTTTATATGTATTGAATTAAAAAGAACTACAGCTTCCCTGTCACTCTTGATATTTCTATTGTCTAATTATAATTTAACCAAGTTTTTAACTGACGATCTGGATCAAAACGTGTTTATTTTAGAAATAATAGCATTTAGTAACATCGTTATTAGATTATCCAATCGTATCTGTAGTTAATATTATCAGCGACTATATACCTACTATTATTCGACTTTATTACTTATAGCCTGTACTGGTGATTGACCTAGGCAACCCTATATACACCGCTATGCTGTGCAAACACGTATTGATATTCTTTTATTACAGCACCTAAGGTCATGCGTTGACATTGAGCTCATGCAATAATAACTAGGCTGAGGCTGAGTGAACTCGCATAAAACATGTTTTGTAAACACAGACATGCAATATTTGCTACTAATAACAGCTGACAGAAATCAGTGTATAATTTTATCAGTAATCACCTAAGAAAATAGTTTTATTTGCACTCTCTTGTTATTTTCCTTATAAACCACCTGAGTTTCACATAATAATGTCGTTAGGAAACGTTTTTTCGCGCGAGTGGTTTCAATGTTGGACCCCGGGGAACACCTTACATTTGAAGCAATGCACTGGACCGAACAAACTTCGTGTCACGTGGACACCGACAATTTTGATAGCAGTAGTTTAATCCCACTCTCTCCAAAATATCTGTCAGCCATAAACAATTTCTTTCCATTTTCCATTATATATTCGGTCTTTATCCGAGTACAGATCGCCCGGTTACTTTCTAGCTTTTACGAGCAATAAATTTACGATAACAATGACGTTAATGTTGTAAGACAATCGGAGCTGTCCGTTCGAAATTCGAACAATACCTTCTGAAACTAACAAGCATCCTGTGATTCAGCAATTCAGTTAAGCTGTTGTTTGGAAGAAAACAACTGGGTATGCACCAATGAACTTTCACCTAGCGATTTGAATTTAAAACTGGAAGATTTACAGGCACAAATCTCATGTTTAAGTAAAGCAACGCCACCCAGATCTGACCAGTTGATATCTTCACTTTCTCGTCTATTTCATTTGAAGAAATTAAACACGAAGCGGTTTCAGTACTGTTTTTTAAATATAGTGCATGGCTACGGATGGCTACTTTCTATAGGATGTAACATCTATTTTTTATTCAGCTGTAGATGATTCAAAGTAATTCGCATTTCCAGCATGATTTATTATTTAAGTATCGAGACAAAATAGAAACTATACAATTATGAGGAATTCAGTGAAGGTAATTATGTGTAATAGGTTTAGGTTTTATAAGCTACTCTATCAAGTAAGTTACAGTGAAGTTATGGTACTAAAATTGATGTGGCTATAAATTTCACATACAAGAAATTTGATTTCCAGCTAATTGCACGTAGAATTTACAACAGAAGCAATATTTCGCTATAGTTCATAGGAGAAATTACTTAGAGAATTGAATTTCCCATCGAAATGGCTTATTTAAAAAATTTAAACGGAAAATTTATGTAAAAAATTGTTAACAAACAATTTGAAAAAAAGAAAAACATTCGATTTTTTAATTACTTTATTAATTATTTAATTTTTTACTTTTTTAAGTAAAGCTAGGTATAGGCATTGCTTCATAGATAAAAGTCAGATAAAATTTCCTTCAAAATAAGAATTTGTAAAGTATTTTTGGGTAAAAATTGACTGATATATGGCTGCTCAAACTTACAATTAGCCAATTTTTCGATTTTCGTCGCGATTATACGTTTTAATTCTCATTTTTTACAAAAAAGGAAGGAAATAAGACGTTCAAGGATTTTCATCACATGATTTGTTCGAAGGGTTATTAAAAATAAAAAAATCGCGGGGTGCTATTAAATTAGAGGGTTGAAATTGAAGATAGGGGTGAAAATGCACTTTTGCAGTTTTTTAAATATTGCATGAAAACGTAGCAAAATTTCGGTATAGTTCATAGGAAAAATTTTGTAGATAATAGAATTTCCCATCGAAATGGCTTATTTAAAAAATTTGAAAGAAAAATTTTTTGCAAAAAATCGTTAATAAACAATTTAAAAAAAGCAAAAAATAAGATTTTTTTATTTTATTTACTTTTTTTGACACTTAGTGGTCAAAATCTTTATTTATTATTAACAAATAAAACTTTTTAAATTATTTTTTATTAAGTAAAGAATCAATTTGTTGCAAAAATAATAAGAATTATAATCATTATGTTATAAACGACGAAAATCTAAAAAATATTTAAGTTTTGGCCGGTTATAACTCAGTTAATTTTAGTTCAAAAACTTTTGAAATCATATTGCAGGTAATCTCATCTAGTATTCTTTGTACAGAATTTTCTTTGCCTACTTCTACTAACAAAAAAATAGCCAAAAAAGTAAAAAAAAATTAAAAAATCTTATTTTTTGTTCTTTTTAAAATCGTTTATTAACGATTTTTTGCATAAAATTTTTATTTGCATAAAATAATTTTGTTACATCATTCTGGGGCACACAGTATAATAACTTACTGTTACTCACGTATGGGTGCAGCAATCGTAGGCGGTGGATGCGATTATCTGATAAATTTTATGGACAAGTCTATGTGTATGTTACCTACTGTCCAATTTTGAATCCAACAGTTAATCTGCCAACGCTTATGCTATTAGAAGCTTGTAATATCACTAACAAATGATAAATTGTAAGATACCAACCACGTAATTACACCTTGTTAGGACGCGGTTGCGTAATAATATTAACAAAGATTTTGTCTCATTTGGAAAATCACAAGCTGAATTATGTAAGTGTCATTAAAAGCTAATCGCAACTGAAACAATTAGCATACGAGATACAAGTTTAAAATAAATCGAATCATGATTACGTAGGCACATTATAATTATTTTTCGAGATGTACTTTGGTTGGTTTTGTACCGGATTTATTACAAAAGAATGAGGAAGTCGTTACATATTATGATAGTACTTCCTTCTTGTAAAAACACTGGAAAATATCATCCAGATACAATTATAACTTATTCCGTGATGTGCTTCATAAAAGATAAGAAAGTTAACTTATCGACTTTATGTAGGTATCATAATTTTTTTAATAACAAATGCGCCAGAGACGATTTCCCCTGGTTTTAACTTTTTTCTCCTGATTATATATATCTCTAAGTCAGTAATATCGTGCGGTCGTAATTCAAGAATGAGTTTATTATACTTTTATTGGTGAAAGCTGTAGGAATTAAATATCCCGCGGATGAAATTATCACAACTCGCTCCCTCGGGGCAAACAAACCGTTGTACGCAATGATAATCGCAATGGGCACGAGTCTTTTTTGTTTCTGGTTCGCTGTTCCTGTCCGATATTCTGCAGGAAGCTGCAGCAATGCGGAAAATCGGTTTAACAGCGATTCATTGATTATAGATTCGCAATCTAATACTACACCGACTTTTCATCTCTTCCGGTATTATGTGTATTATTCGAAGAAGTGTATAGTGCTTCCCTGTGGTGCTTCCTAACGAGCGACATAGCCTTTATAATTAGACCAATCCGGATTTTTTTTTTAAGGTGAATGTGAGAGGGGGCAAGCATTTTGTTTCTGGGTTAGCTTCAGTACAACCCACGTAATATAAAAATGTAGATCCCTAGATCTGGGCGAGGTCCGGAACATTTTCAAAATTGCAAAAATATTTAAAAAAATTAAAAAAATACCTATTTAATCTGAGTTTTTTACTTATATCTTGGAACCTATGCATTTTGGAAGAATATTGAAGAGAAAAAAAAGTTTTAGAATTGAATTTTGCACAATATACTGTAAGATAAAAATGTATAAATTTATTACCGATGTTGCAAAATAGCAATAATCGATGAAAAAAAGGTAAAATAATCAAGTTTTTTGGATAATTTTTTAAAAATATTTTAATTGCTCTGAGGACATTCCAATTTTGGTAAATAAAACTTTAGAGTATAATAAAACAATACACCAAATTTCATTAAAATCGGTTCTATAGTTTTCGCAAAATAATTTTTTTAAAAAAATTTAGAGAAAATTTTTCGAATTTTCAAAATGTTGCACAGCCTCAAAAAAAGCACCTAGATACTTGAAAGTTTTTTCACATAGAAAATACCGCTCTCTTTCAAATGGCTTCTGAAATATTGAAATCTGTTGATTAGGACGACCACAGTAAAATTTTTTTTATTTTTAAACAATTAGATTACATTTATCAATTTATCAAAGTATTCTGTGGCAATACAATTATTTAAGTTAAGACGAAAATAGATAAACAAAGCGTAAATGGTACCTTAAAAATTATCTACGTTTATTTCCTGTGTTGAAACGACTGATTACATGTTCACTTTAAAGAGAATGGCGTATTAATTGACAACACAAAGAACTTTTAACCCTTCTAATTCCATTTAAAAATCTTTCGGGGTATTAGGATACGTGCTTTCTATCCTCTCTAATTTATTTTATTGGCTAATACTTAAAAATTGTTTGTTTTATTAAGTACTACAATTGTTACTGCAAAAAGCAATAAATTTAAGCGTTTTACATTCTTCTCGTTTCCGTTATTAAAATTCTTATTTTCTCGTTACGTCACACCATAAACAGCTGTTTACTAGATAAATTTAAAAAAATATATATTTATACATTTGACGGAATTAATAGTAAGGAACAAAAAAGAGTAACATTTGATAAAAGCACCGTTGAATTTTTCTCTTCGATCACCTTCGATTTCGCAAAACTCTTGAGTAGGCGTCATATGGTTCCTTTTGTTTCTCTGTCATGGTTACATGACAAAGTTAATATCTGGCAACACAGGATTAAAGGTACTTCATTCTTTCATTCTGTTAACGTTGTTTTTGGGGTTAAGTAATCCAGATTTTGTGTTCATCCGTTGTGACGTGTATTTAAAATCAGTGTTGTAGTTAAAACAATTTATAATTTGACGTTTGATTGTTTGTGCATTGTGTCGCCCTT